TAACCACTTACTGGTATTAGTAGGTATGGTGACTAGAACCAGCACTCCTAGCATAGGCATAGCACTTCTAAAAGTAGTATCCTAGAAAAATGGCAAATGCCACTCTATTACGACCAAATGCATGGTAGATATTCAGCTATTATCAAGTACACATTTCTTTAACCTTCACCTTACTAAAAACCGCCATAGAGGTTACGACTGTATACTAGGTCAAAATTTCCTACATGCACGTACATTCCACTTACTGGTTTTAGCAGGTATGATTACTATATCAAGCACTTATAGCATAGGCACAGCACATCTAAAAGTAGTATGCTAGCCCTAGTATTTTAAACTTTAGGAGACAGTCAAGGCAAACACTGACGTGCTCTGGGCTTCAAACACCTACTCTAGTGCGAATAGCAAAAATTCTGGTCCCCATTCCTATGTGAGATGAAGGAATACGGGCCCAAACCTGACTCCAATCGGTGTCACTTATGACCAAATATTAGCATTAGTAACAGTACTATTACTACAATCACTCAGATACACCGCTAGAAGCAGCTATATAAATAGAACTTGTAGTAGTAGTACAACTAAGAGATTCGGGCTCCTCAAATCTTTCTGAGCACCTACTATGGGTCGGGGGGATATATAGTGCAATAATAACAGTGCAAAAGGCTACTGTCACGGTGTTCCTAGCTGCATCTGGAGAAAGCGGCTTACGCACGACTCCTGCTCGGTCATTACGACCTTCTGTTGTACATGTTCAAACGGAAGAAGTTTTAGAGGAGGGCAGATGGCGCGCGTCTACTAAAACTATACCTGCCCACAGTCACCACGGTGGTCGAACTAACACACGACATAGTTGGAAATACTTATATGCCCCTAAACAGGACATAGTAAAAGGGACGGTCGGTTCAAGAATAAATGTGGCCCTCTGCATGCCTGCGTTCTGATCCTAAAACAAAGCCTAACATAAGCGTAACGCGTAGCCCTAATCTTAACCCTAACCCTAACTCTGCCCTTAACCCTAGCCCTACAGTCAACAATAAATCCTTCGTTACCGTTATTCACCTCAACACTAACTTTTAATGTAATGTAGACTAACGCCTAAGCACAACCCTGATCCTAAAAATAAAAATGAATCTGGTTTTGGGTAAATTTGCGCACAGAACCTGCATCGTGGGCGGTTCTTGTTCTCATGTCCTGCATAGGGGACCATAAATGTCTTCCTACCGTCATGATACATACAAATTAACAAAACCACCTTTTCGGGCAATAGACAAAGCGCATCGGAAACCATAAAGCTTTCATTGAAACATCAAGAAGATTTTGAAACACAGGGTTGAAACCAGATTACGCACACCCTGGTGGATCACACGTTGCACAGTGCACACGTTGTATACTTTGATCTCCAGCGTTGCCTTTCATATTAACAAAGCTCCACGAAACGTTAGGTAGCTGATTAGCTACCATTCTGCTTAGCCCACCAATTACTGGCGAATATTTGTCCTAGTAAAAAACTATATCTGTTTTCAAACTCATCCAGTGTCAATGCTGTTTGAAATATTCAGAGGTTTGCAGGCATACGTTATACCTTCTTTTCCAAACTATATTTACGCATTTAACACTACGTTTTACGACCCTGGAATTACTGATTTTCTAATGACATTGTTATATCTAGCCAATATTTCAATATCACTTTTTTTGTTTTCAACTAATTGAACGTCGAATGTATTTAAATGTGCGTTTTATCAACGTCTTTTTGTCGACTAGGCAATCTTTGGGGAAAATTCGAGTGTTTATGCATACCTCCTGAAAGAAATCCCTTTTCACAAAAAGAAAAGGCACACTTTTAGCTGATAGTATTGCCAGAAAAGACAAGGGAGACTGAAATGTCCTTTTCTGGCTTATGAGCCGTCATCAACCAGTCATACCAGTCCCATTTGATGCACCACTCAAGGCTCAAACTCACGACATTTTTGATCAATGTCTAACGCCCTAACCAATACTATATGTCT